CCCTACTTGTGGAGCATAACCACTGACTACATTCAACATTACCCCTTCAGTTTCCAACTTCAAACTGATCACCCTGTCTGACACTCTTTTCACCTCTAAAACATTCCTCACGAGCTCTTTCTCTGTCATTGTGCCAACGTTAAGAGTCCCTATTCTCAGACCTATAGTCCTGCCTTTCCTCTTCTCTTTCTTTCTACGAATCCTTCTGCCTCCTTTCCTTCTTCGACCAAATGAATCAAGACTAGGCTCAGTTATTGGATCTGAATTAGAAAAAAATATCAGATTTTGTTCAACAAACCAAAGAAAATACGAAACAGGAAAAGCATATAAAAAATAACCCACCTGCCCTCTTAACAGATCGGTTTGTTTACGTTTGGGATGCGTCCATTGTTGAAACCTTTGACCTCGAGACGTAATATAAAAAAACGTGCCGTTCCATTGGCTGGTTGGAGTACGTGCAGACGTTGCGAGGGGCGTGGCCACTTGTTTACTCTCAGAGTAGTGCTTCTGCAGGTGGGCTAGCGAACAGCGGTGACAACAGGAGGAGGAAACACTAAACAAAATACAGTTACATTTGTCTGACAGTTATACAATGAAGAAACGGTTCTGATGTGCTTTTAAAACGCCCTGGCAATGATCCGGATACTGAGCAGTGCATCTTTTAAAGCTGTTGGGACAGCGAAACTGCTAAAGGACATCACAAACAGGCAGCTGCACGGGTAAGAATGACTGTGAGGAGTTCTACTTCTTTGAATAACTCATGCTTTAGACAGATACTGTAAGTTAAGAAATGAGCAGATAAGCGGATGTCTGCTTAAACAACTAACAGTTAATGGCTCCTAGTTATTGCAAAGGACATTCAGCTCCGAGGACTAGATTGCATTACAGTTCTGCTCACTGCATAGCCCCGATGTGCACACATCACCGCAATGCTTACGCATACAAAACATTTCTATCCACACTGTGCCTCCTGATCTACACCTGCCCAATCCACGTTGTATGCATTTAAGATAAGATAATCTTTTATTGTCGTTGTAACACTTACAACGAGGTTTTAGTGTGACCTCCAGTGCAGCAATGGAAAAACATAAAATGAAATAAAAACATAACGAAAAAACCGAAATGAACAGGTGTCCAGCAGCCACTTAGTAGTTTTGTGTGAAGGCAGTATGTGTTACCTACAGACTACAGGCTACTTTGGGGGCATGGCATGCAGTGTCTGTAGCAGTGACGCTCTCTAGTCTATATTGTGAAATACTGATGTTGTAATTTGAACGCATTGATTCATAACACATAGGTAACCTCGCCAGTTTATTAAACGAGACCAGCAAATTATCAGTTTGATCACAGTCATTTTGCCACTGTAATAAATGGTGTTGAGGTTTATGAGCAGCTCTACGGGTTTCCACATGTTCTGGTAGTCTGGAATGCAGACCAGAGAAGTTAAAGCTCCTGAAGCAAAGTTGTACATCTTAGCACATTTTCTGCAGGAGTTTATGAATGGTGACCCACCTGTAGTTCAGCTGAAGTGAATGGTGATGTCACTAAGCACCTTTTTCCTTGATCTGCTTTATTGGTTCCTCCCTGTGTGGAGTATTACAGCACTTTACCTGGTCCCATATAATTCACTATGAAAACAAGCTGTTTTCTGTTCCCCGTGTCCTGTACCTCTGTGAGTGCACAGATTTAAAATGGTCTTTGAGCTTAAACACTGTGTTCTTCTGACTTTTGCAGATGCTTAATTATGTGAAACCCAGTGGTGGACTGGGAACAAGTTGGACATACTGGAACTGCATCCAGTAGTCTGTCTTAATTAGGTTTATTAATGGATTTACTTGTTAGTGACATTTCTTTGTAGTTACAAATAGCCTGTTAACTGTGCCAGGGCTTCTCCTACTTATCAGTTTCAAAGGTCTGTTGGTGGCTGAAGATGGACATTGAACTTTTGCAACCTGTAAAACCAGTTGTTTATGAGTAACCATCTTAAATTTACATTGCCCACGACCTTGCCTCCTGTCTGTCTTTCAGCACATATGATGTGGCCGTGGTGGGTGCCGGCATCGTGGGCTTGGCCACAGCCAGAGAGCTCATTCTGCGACATCCGTCCCTCAGCTTCATCCTGCTGGAGAAAGAAAAAGAGCTTGGTAGGTGGAGGTTTGAAAGCGGTTGTGGTGAAGGAAGACACGTTCTTGAGACCAAAATGTGATTGATGCAGTTACACTGAGTATTTTGAAAGTGACTGATTGATTGCTGTTGGCTCTGTAGTCCAGGGCTAAGTGCCAAGTTTCAGCTCTGATTGAGTGTTACTGGGTGAATAGTCCTAGTATTGATCAGGGTAGAGACCTAATGTTGACCCACTGAACTCCATCAGCCCAATAATCACACAATTATTGTTTCCTTAAAAATCCAGTGTACTGCATTACATAAACAAAACAAATTAAAATGTCAGATATTTTTTCAGAGGCTACACTAATTATTGCAGTTCTCAAAGAAAATTGATAGCATTAAAAATATAAATGGAAGACCTCACTGAATATAATATTTCCTGTTGGTTCTGAGCACTGTTGAATAAACAGCTATAATGTTTTAATTGGTAAGTTTCTGATGTGTGCATTTGCCATTTTTACAGAGCCAAACTAGCTGCTTGCCCTCCATTTTCAGTTTTGATGCTAAGCTAAGCTAACCGTCTCCTGCGCGTTGCTTCATATTTGCTATATAGATCTAAAAGTGGTATTGATCCTCTTATCTCTCCTCCCAAAAATGTTTTCTTTATGATTGAAAAATTCAGAGATTGTGTTTTTTAACCATTTTTCCATGATTCTATGATTGTTAAAGCTATAGCATGTAACTTTTTTCAAATAATTTTGCTGTAGAAATCTGCTCCAAAACCCATCTTAATGTGGACAGGAGCTGTTGAAGCCTCCTGTGACCCAGACTCACTGAACAGCACTGGCAACAGTGCAGAGATATTAGCTTCTAAAGGTTTTGAGCGGGACTGACCTCTCTAACCAATCAGAGATTTTTCAGTTATTTCTGCTTGATTAGTAAGTTTTGTTGCGTTCTCAACAAATATCTGAAGAGCTGGTCAGAGCAGGGGGAGCATTGCAGATCATAGTAGAGTATAGTGGAGCAGGGATAGCTGGGTGGATCGATTTGGAGTTTCATGTTAGCACTACCTTAGGTTACATACTGTAGCTTTAATAAAACCTTTTACTTCTTCTTCTTGTTCTTCAACTGTCTTTGTGTTGCTCATCAGCTGTACACCAGAGTGGGCACAACAGTGGAGTCATTCACAGCGGGATCTACTACACACCGGGGTCGCTGAAGGCCCGTCTGTGTGTGCGAGGAGCCAATTTAGCCTACGAGTACTGTGAGAAGAAAGGGATCCCTTACAAGAGATGTGGAAAGGTCTGCCTCAGTGTTTTACCCAGATAAGACATGATACAGCATGTTTACCTCGGATGACTGGGGTTTACAAGACACATCTATATATTACATTACTACATGCATGCGATACAGACATTGTGAAGATTTTTAATACAACAGGGCATTGTCATTTTCCTACCTCATTACAGATAAATAAATCTAGACAAAGAGAATCCACAGAAGCTGAATTTTGCTTGGTTGTGACTCGAGATTTAGTGACTTGGCTACAACACCTCATACTGTACAACCATACAGGTACAGGGCTGGGTATTCTTTTCATTCTAGTGGTAATGTACCTGTTTTGTGCTGATAACAAAAACACTATTATCTCTTCCATGTTCTGAACAAAGCACTGATCAAAAGCCAAAGATCTCAAATGATGAATTTTGTCTCAACAAAAACAGCTATAAGATCTTTGCCTAAATGAAATTCAGCCTAAAGACAAAAAGCTCTAAAATGACCAAAGTTATGATTGAACTGTCTTATTAAACAGGTAAAAAAGACAAAAAAATCTGAGCCAAGCACTTGATGCCAGACTTAGGTTCCTGACAGTGACACAGGCACATTTCAGCTGGTACCAATAAAACACTGAGACTTGATACCCAGTCCGATATGAGTTCTGTAAATACCTGTCATGTGGATCATTGCATTGTGTCTCTCTCAGTATTGATCAAAGGTATTTCTACACTGGCAGCTTATTGTGGCTGTGGAGCAGGAAGAGATATCGAGACTGAATGCTCTGTACGAGCGCGGCATGAAGAACAACGTGCGTGACCTCAGTATTGTTGATGCCAAGGGAATACGAGAACGAGAGCCGTACTGCAGGGTAAAAGACTAGAGGACACTGTTTGGATCAGTACAATAGAAGAGATAGCAGCGAACATTTATGTTACACACTTTTCAGGGTCTAATGGCCTTGGATTCGCCCTACACTGGCATTGTGGATTGGAGGATGGTCGCTCTCAGGTACGGCACAGACTTTGAGGAGGCAGGCGGCACAGTGGTAACCGAATATGAAGTCAGTGACATTTCCATGGTCACAGAGAGCCCAGCTGGGAGCACAGAAGGTAACAAACAGGTTCTGTACACCATATTTAAATGAGCTGTAGTAACTTTAGGCACACCTTAATATATACATATATATATGTCTTTCTTTAAATTCTGTTTGCAGGAATGAAATACCCAATCACAGTCAGAAGCAAAAAGGTAACACCCTTACAATTAAAAGCATGATCATGTTGAGACAGTGTTCTGTTATTTGCAGTGCTTGCACTGTACTGTTTAAACAGGGCAATGAGGTGCAGTGCCGGTACGTCTTGACCTGTGGGGGCCTATACTCAGACCGCCTGTCGCAGATATCCGGATGCAGTCCAGAGCCACGGATCGTCCCCTTCAGAGGAGATTATTTGGTCCTGAAGCCAGAGAAAAATTATCTGGTGAAGGGAAATGTCTACCCTGTAAGTCTGCTAAAGAACTAAAGATCCTACTTTTTAAACAGTGTAATCTACATAGAGCTGCAAGAAAAAGTAATGGCATTGCTTGCAATTTCTGGCATTCTGCATAAATTGGTCGTGAAATGTGATCTGATTCTCACCAAAGTCACAAATATCAACAAACACAATATTTCTAATCTGATAAAACACAAACAGTCGTGATTTCTGGAGCTATTATGTTCTTATATGTTGAAGTATCAGTGGAGCGCCTCTGTTATTAAATGGATTTAAACAATGCATACTTTATATTTTTATAGGTCCCTGACCCTCGTTTTCCTTTCCTTGGGGTCCACTTCACCCCACGGATGGATGGAAGTATTTGGCTCGGCCCCAATGCAATTCTCGCCTTCAAAAGGGAAGGATACAAAATGTACGACTTCAACATACGAGACTTTGCAGATGCACTGTCATTCAGGTACAACATCATATTTTCTCTGTTATCACTTTGTTCTTTATGTAGTTTTTGGGAACTGTAAAATTTCTGTGTATATTATGATTAATATTATAAAGGATTACAAAGAATATCTTAATGGAAACACTGCAGTAGCATAGCAAATCGCAGAGTAATACACTAGCATTCACATACTGTAGGTTCTGAAATCACATAATTACAGTGTAATTGTTGCATGGGAGGTGGTTCACACTGAATATTTGATCTTTTTCTTTTTATGCTGCAGGGGCCTCCAGAAACTTGTGATGAGGAACATAATGTATGGGATTGGAGAAATGTATAGAGGGTTTTTTATTGGTGCACAGGTTAAAATCCTGCAGAAGTACATACCTGAACTCTCACCGAGTGACGTGCTCAGGTAGACGTAAGACTTAAAATGCATGTATTTTATAAAACTACAGCGTCTTTTTTGCTCTTTCAAGTAGTCGGTTTTGCTTACAACCACCATCAAGTGACATTTCGAGCAAATATGTCCCTTTTACTTTATATCAGTGAATGTCCTGGTTTATATAAGTACTTAGCTGATTGCTAGGTGCATTTAACTCTAGAGACAAAATGATGCAGTTAATTTAACTACTGACTATCATTTTTTAGCATAATAGTATAATTGACAAGTATTTCCTTTAACCTGGGTTGTTTTCCTCTTTAGGGGTCCTGCAGGAGTTCGAGCTCAGGCTCTTGACCGAAACGGCAACCTAGTGGATGACTTTGTTTTTGATGGAGGGGTTGGGGATGTGGGTAGTCGGGTGCTCCACGTGCGTAACGCCCCCTCGCCAGCGGCCACCTCCTCCCTTGCAATCGCTGAGATGATTGCAGACGAGTTGGAGTGCCGCTTTTCCCTGTAGAAAAATGGCAGAAGGAAAAAGAAAACTAAATAATCCAGCTTGAGGTCATTGAAACTACAGTGTAGTATCAAGCTGTCACTACCTCAGTATCACTGTCATTGAGACATTTTTATTACAGGTTGAGTTCTAATTTAGGGGGAGAGAGTTTTATATCTTTGACTTAATTACATTTTTTAGGCAATTTTTACTTAGAAGTGCTATTACAGGTAACAATGTCTTTAGTCCACCACATAAAGTAAAAAAAATAATATTTTTCTACGCTACATTTCTGTTTAAGAAGAAGAGACATCATGAGTGGAAAGAAGATTTTATCATACTGTTTAACATTAAATAGGAATATAGAAACATTTGACAGAATGTGAACTTTTCAGTTGGGTATTTTTGGACTATCGTTCTGGCATGGAATTTAAGGATAATCACCTTTATTTGGCCAAGTATGTTACATACACTAGGAATTTGTTTCTGGTACAGAACTGAGGCAGTGGAAAGAAACGGTTCATGTAACGCACAGTTATAACTACAGAATGCAGAATGGTTGTGCTTGCTTGATTTGACCATTCTCATCACTGGACAGTGTTGTCTGCCAAAATAAAAAGATTGTGAAATGATATCAAGATTAAATAAATAATTTGTCTTGTGTTATACTTAAATTAATGCAAAGTGGGCATACTTTTGTTTTGTGTGTTTGTGGGGAGATGATCTCGTATAATTCTGCTACAGTTTTCTCTTTGTTCACATAACTGAAGGAGCTTCACATATGGCTAAAGGTGTCCAGATCTATCAAATTAGTCTCAGTTGTAGTTATTGCTTCCCTCTTATTTAAAGAGATTAATGCTAAAGGATTTTTTTATTGTAGACACATTTTTAAATAGCAAATGTGCCAAAAGTATGTTTAAATATAGACTGGTTATCCTTGTATATACACTACCCGTTGGACTGAATGGGAAAGTGTCCAAACGTTTTGTAGTGATAAAAGCATTGCCTATCGTCCAATTCCTGAATTAAGCATTTAAAATAATTCGTCCACCAGGAGGCGGAATCTCAGCAACAAACTCTTTATGAGCTGCGATGTAAGCACAAATATGTCTCAAATAGAGGATGATGTTAAACCGTTTCTTAATGTTTGAACTATTAATATTTGTAATGGTATAAAATAAACAGGCTTTTTGCATAAACGTCATCTGTTTGTCTAATAAATGCCAGCAGCAATGTTTGGACCCTTCTCAGAAAGAAACACGATGGTCGGTAATTAAAGGTTGACTTTCTATCATATCTGTATTTTAAAAATTATGTTTAGCATTTATCATGTGGCTACATTATGCATCTTCTCTGAAATGAGACAGAAGTCCAGCCTTGTTTTCTCTGTCCAATAAAATGTGGAATTACGCAGCGTGCGTGCCTAAGAGCGGACGCGCGGCGCACGGAGCAGCAGCAGACGGACAGGCAGCGGAGCTGGTACGAACATCCTCGACTTCACAAACCAAAAACACCTCGACTGCTCTTCAGTTGCTCTGCTCATAGATATGCCTCGGACTGATCGCTGTTTTTGGGGGATTTACGTTGGATTTAGCGTTCGATCGCTGCGGAGAAGATGATTAGATGTGAAGTAAACAGCGCAGAAGAAAGTGTGCCTTGTTTGGAGCTGAACGGGTCGTGTGCCACAACATAAAACTCAGCGCATCAAGGCCAGCAGCAGTCTGTAGCAGTAGTTAGCTCGTCGGCTAACGCTAGCCTGCTAACGTTACAGGTGTTTAGGAAGCAAATAACCAAACGTAACTTGTAACTGTAGTTAGCTGCAACAAGCTGGGCTCCCATGTCGTGACTTAACACTGTACTCACTGTGCCTGTTACAAGCCTTGTAGTAATAGCCAGGTAGCAAGTTTAACACTTAGCAACATTGTTATTAGCCATTAGCCTGTTAGTTAGGCGCTGCCCCGTGTTTATAGCAGCAGGCTATTCTCACTAGCCACCGAGCTAGCGAGTTAACTTTGTAGCTACATGTGCTTCTTTTATTTTGAAGCTAATTTATCCGCTGTTTAGCCTGAGTCGACCCCAGACTCAGCGTGCTTTGGTGACGCGCTTCATATTTGCGAGCTGACTTTTTCCTAGTGCCTGCCTTGGACTGACCCACCCACAAGGACTATCTATCCGGGGCCGATGCTGACAGTTCAGCCCGGATCACGGCAACGCCAGGAGCCGCTACAGCGATGCAGCCCCAGCAGATATACGACTTTTCAAGTGACGAGAACAATCACAAATGGAGAGGCCTCTTCGTGCAAGCTTTACGGAAGGTAACGCTGGTTTTCCTTCACCAACTAACCCTCACCAATTCTCCTCAGAAACACGCACAGTAGATGAAATGTCTTTTCACACTGGAGGCGTATTTATCGTACGTGAATACATTTTGAACCAATATTCTGTCAATGAACTCAAGCACATCAACGTCAGAATATCGCTGAGCCGAAAGCGGCGTTTGTTTTTTGCCCCAAGGTCGATTTTTTTTTCCTCAACTTTTTGCCGGAGGCAGGAACATGGGACCAATCACGACGCAGCTCGTTGCAACATTGTTACCGTAAGCCCATAGTGCACCCGCCAGCTAAACCTGTCTGATTTATTTATTAAAGTGGTATGTCGTATATATTTGACCCCAGACACACAGCTCGGCTCTATTCCGGGTCAATCGGGTCATTGTAATTGCTCTTCTGCCTCTTAAAGTGCTGTGGCAGCAGCAACAACTCCTCACATTGTCCCACGGCCATCCTGCAGTAGGTCCAAAAATGGCCACGGAACACTTTCAACCACTGCACCAAGCAGTGCAACTTTCCAAGTTGCGTTGTTGACCAATATAGGACGAACTCCTTGTATTTAGCAGAATCAATACCTGCAGGGCACCATCGCTTGATGTGGACTTTTAGAACTTCACATTCCATAATCGCGTGGCGTTTGGCGTGAATATATGTGGTGCGTTTAAATCACCTCCGGAAAAAGAAATCGCTATTTCAGATCGTTTATTCGCGGAGCTCCGTATGTGAAAAGACCTTAATTTGTGCAAGACACGGGGCACTGGTTTCACCTGCATGTACACAATCTGTTGTCCCAAGTATTCATTATTGGTATTCATTTATAGTATTATTATTATGAGCAGTGCAAGCAAAACTTCAAATGTAACCCACAGCAATTGTTCCTGAGAACCTGATTAATTAAAAGTATTGCATGTTTTGTTGCTGATTAATCATTACTTTAGAGTTTTTGCCAGTATTGAAACTGCTGTCCTCATCTTTTGTGGCTGTAAACGTGCCTACGCTGTGATTAAGGCTTTCTCCTGGTTCCCTATAATGACTTTTGCCCACCGAGCAGTGCAAGAAGTTGTTCCATTTTGGCCACTTTTTACAGTAACGTGATGTACTGGCTGTATTATTAACTCACAGGGTGCCAGGGTTCCCTGAAGTTAAACACCAGTCCTGGAGTTGCTCCTCTGCAGCTGAAAGCTACTGTCAAACGTTGATTTGACATGTGTGTTGCTGACAGCCTTTTTATTTGTTTTTCATTTGGTCTAACAGCAGGATGTGTCGTCTTTGCAGAGCAGACCTTCTGCAGCTGTTTCATTCTACGTATTGTCAAATTTCCCTCCGTTTTACCAAAGAAGTGCAGCTTCATTCTGGGAAACCTAATTGAAGCTTTCATACTGGAAGAAGTTTCAATTTTAATGTCTTTGGTCAGCAG